TTTTATTTCACACTTTGGATTTGCTAAGTCTACAGTGTTATTTGTGACTTTGGGATGGTTTTGAGGGACTCCTTGAGCCCATTTTGAACTATTAGCTGTCTCAAAGCAAAAGGCTTAATTCTGACATGGTTTTAGGAGTATTAAATGAATTTGAATTGTTTTCAATTCTGTTCTGGCACAAAGTATTAATTTCCAGCACTATTTCCTAAATGTTCTTAATCAGACAAGCACTTTGTATATTAGTTTAGGTTTTGGAGAGAAAATTCTGTCCTTTGAGTTTCCTTTTCCATTCCTAATGTATTTATGTTTTATTTTCAACCAGGAAGACAAGTGAAGGTTTTGAATACTCTTATACCCCTTTATACATTTATTTATCTTGTGAGGGAGTAGCTTTCAAGTTCAGGTTTAAGCTAAGGAGGTTAATTAACTGCTTTTTTTCTGCATGTCTATTTGCTTTTCCTGTGGGCCTGCCCACACTCTGTCTTAACTTGCTGTGGGTGACAAAATGTAGCACAGGTCGAGATACCAAAGTGGTTCTCTTGTTGAGTCACTTCATGCTAGTAGGGGAAAAAAAAATACCTCCTTTTGTTTTGGACTGAATTTTGAGAGTCTTGTGACATTTGCTAAACTGATTAATACTGGAGAACCCTGTCAGATATGGAATGGTTGCTCCAGTTAGTTATGCTAGAAGTTGACAGCTACAGTAAATTCATTCCAAGAAAAATCCAGTAGATTGGCTGATGATGGTGATTTTTCAAAGTCTGTTCAGTAACACAGCATTTTACTGAATTCCCTTTACAGGCAGAAATTGAAAAGAGAATAAGGCAGCGCCTGGAGTTAAGGCAAACCTATGAAGAGCAGTTTGCTATGAAGGCAGCAGCACAACGAGCTCTGCGGGAGGAGGAGGAAGCCTTCCGCCAGCAGATGCTGGCCAGGCTGGCAGAGGAGGATCGGATCGAGGAGCTGAACGCTCAGAAACGCAGGATGAGGCAGCTGGAGCACAAAAAGGCTGTGGAAGAAATCCTGGAAGACCGTCGCAGACAGTTCATTGCAGACAAAGTAAGAGTTTCACACACGCCTTTGGTTTGAGCCACAGTGTTTCAGTGTGGGAACACTTGTGCTGTCCTGAGGGCTGCTGTCACTAGGGAAAGGTGACAGGGGAGTTGTAGACAAATGTGTGTGGGGAAGGAGGCCTTTGCTTTAGTTTGATGACAAGAAAAAGTTTTTAGAGCCAACTTTTTTTGTAGCTTGAGAGGCTGGGGTCAACAACACGCCTGGACCCCTGTGTACCTGACATGCTCTGCAAATACCTCCTCAGGAGCCATGGGAGCAGTGGAACAACTGCTGGCCAGTTCCCTGTCCCTGGTCAGCTGCACTGTGTGAGGAGGGGAAGTCCCAGCCTTGCTTTTAGGTTAAGTCTCTTGAATTCTGATCTGAGGAAGAAAAGGTGTAAGCTGAAAACAGGTCATGGAATCCTATACTGCAGTTTTCAGACCTTGTTTATGGGGTATAAATCACATATGTAATGTGATTTGTGATTTCTAGTCATCAGCATGAGAATTCATGCCTATTGCTCTTTTTCTGGGATTAGAGCAGTAGGACAGGAACAGACTAACTTGTCTGAGAGCCAGAAAGGCAGAACTGGACACTTAATCTGCTTTCAAAAGGGCAAACACTTGGAGAGCAGACTTGCCCCAGGTCCTGCCATTCAGTCCTCTCTTTTGTCTGAGATTGTTTTCCAGTTGCCAAACATACACAGTTTAAACTAAAGTGTTCACAAACTGAACTTAGGAAAACTTGTTTACTGTAGGAGCGTGAAGTTGAAGAAAGAGAGTTAGAGAAGAGAAGACAAGAAAGCATCCGTGCAATTGTTGAAGAGGAGAGGCAGAAACTCCTGAAAGAGCACGCCTGGAAACTGCTGGGTTATCTGCCTCGAGTAAGTGAGGTGTCTTGTAAATGCTTTGTGTCTGTCCTGTAAATCACTTTTCTCTTGGACAGTTCAAGGTGAAGTTGCAGAACTGTGTAAATTCCTGAAGTCAGTGGGTGTCATTATTGTGTCAGCTCACCTGCACTCACCTCTTACTTTTTGAGTTGGGAAGCTCTTTACAGAAATGCTCTTTGGGCTCCCTGGCAGCATTGATGCCTTGTGCAGGACTTGCTGAAAGCACATCCAGTGCTTGGAATGTGAAACCTGAGTTCTACAGCAGGGCTTTTCTAGCTAGAAGGGGGTCCACCACATCTTACACCCTGTTTCCACCACATTTCTCAGCTAGGGTTTTGGGAGAAATTTTGGCTGGTCTGCCAAGTATTCCAAGTTAACATGGAGGCAAGGCCTCCCCTCTGCAGCAGTGCAAGGAACTGCAGTGCTTACAGAAGCATTTCAGAGCTCACTCTGTTCATCCCTGGGTTTTTAAAAGTTAAAAGGATGGAAGCAGTTATTGCAATAGGAATAAACTACCATTTATTTTGTATTATGCTTCATAATTGGAAAGATCTCCTGACAGTACACAAATGAACAGAGCTGCCATAGGGATGTAAAACTACATTTAGAGTAGGGAGAGAATTATCCCACTAGTTAAAGAAATTCTGCAATTCTGGAAAATGTAAATAGAACAGAGTATAATTTTTATTCAAACATTAATATGATAATTGGTGCAGGAATTTGTAACATCTGGAGTGAGTTGTTCTTTAATGTAGATTAAATGATAACTCATATTGAAAACATTTTGAATATACTTTTCTGGTTTGAATTTGCTGTTGTAGGAAGCCTTGGCAATGTCAGTGTCCAAGGCTCACCCATGTGCCACAAATGATGTCCTACTTTGTTCACTGTGTCTGCCTTGGGTGCTCCTACATCACGTTACTTCACTCAAAATGGTTCAACAGGAAAGTGCTACCGAATTTGAAACTTTCCAATATAAATGCAGTTTGTATTTTTTCCTTTTCTAAATGCTGCAAGGTATGCTCTGTGGGACATACATATTTTTAGCTGTAAAATTAATTTAGAATTAATTGTAAATTTAGATTTCTGGGTTCCCCCGCTTCCCTTCCCCCCAAAAAATAGTTTTTGATTAAGTTGTCCAGTATCAGTTTATTTCCCAAGTTATTCTTTTGTAGGAGCTAATTCAACACAGCTAAAGGGAAGACAGAGCCCCAGCCCAGCCAAGGCCTCTTTTCACTGCAGTTTCTTGATTTTTACTAAAGCTGCACCTGCTGTGCTGGGTGTTACCACTTCTGTGAGAAAGAGAATGCAGCTCAGTGTTGTCTTCTGGTAGTGCTTGTGTGTGCAGAACAAAAGGAGTGGCTCTAGGTTAGCACCAGGTACACCACTTTATAACCCATCTGTTCAAGTTCTGTGATGCCTTTCAGGCTTGAGTTTCAGGTTTGTTTTAAAAGGTAACAACGGTATTATGGATACAAACTATCCATTCTCTTGATGGAAAATTGCAGAGATCCATAGAAATCTCTCTACTTTGTTTTCCCTTCTAATGTGTGTTTCTTTCCTGTTACTGCAGGGGATACTCAAAGACGAAAATGACATTAACATGCTTGGAGAAGATTTTAGGTTGGCTTACCAGCAGAGAAGAGGTAATGAATTATCAGAAGAGAGCTGAACCCTTCCCCAGCTCAGCTCCTGCTTTGCCACTAGGTGTCAGCTGATTCCCAATGAAAACTTCCATTTGCTGTTAACAGAGAGGAACTCCTTTTTAACACCATTAAAAGTCTCCATTTTAAGACCAAAGTTCTCAGCTGATGAGCAGTTAGTTTTATATAGATGTGTGCTGCACTTGCATTTTTCATCAATAAACTGTTCTGAGTTCTCAATTCTTCTCAGTTAGTGGTGTAGCAACGTTAGAAACATTTTCTCCAGCAGCACAGCAGAAACCAAGCTGGTGTAAATGCACACATGTATTCCCCTATGGACTACAGGATTCTCTTCATGCACTAGTTCTGGGGGGAATGGGAAGATTTGGCTGTACTGGCACTACACTACTATGATCCTAATCCTCCTCAAAGTTGTAGATCTGAGGTACTTTGCTGGTAGATCTAAGGCAGAGACATTGTTCCATTCTGAGGTCAGAACCACTGTCTGTACCTTTCAGTGCATCAACTGACTGTTTCTGTGCCATGTTCCTATTCACTTACCCTGAGGGAGGAATCCATTTGGAATCACTGAGGTCTGACAGAGGTTCATGGAAGCAGCACAGGCCTGTATTGCTCCTGTTCATTAGTGTACACATGGTATGCTCAGCTCATCTACCCTAAATCTTTTACCTAGTTCTTGATTCCAATGATGACTAGTGCTTGTAGAGCACCTGTGAATAGTCACAGCTCCTGACTTATCCCCAGGCAGCAGCTGATGGCCAGAGAAAGGTTTAATATTTTCACCTTGACTAAAGGAGTCTGTCTGGGCAGTGAGGGGCAAGTCTCATGAGTGGTTATGCCAGCCAGGGGGGAAGATGTAATGACTAAAACAAGTTATGATCATTTCTATAAAAGAGCTGTTGGTGCTTAAATTAGATGCCAGACCAACCAGCTTTGAGGGGAGATCTGTTACAGAGAACAGACAAGGCCAATTTTCCAACCACGTGTTTTAAAAAGGACGTGACATTTTCTTCTCAACTGGATCACTGGTTAATTTATTTCTGTTGCAACAAGGAATTTTCTGAGACTAACTCCTGCCTTCTTTGGACTGAATATTACCATAGATAAGGTACAGTTTTAAATGCTAAACCAGAGCAAACTGATTAACAAAGTTCACTTGCTGGACTATTCCTTGCACGGTCTGTGCTTCTCTGCTAGTTACAGAATGGACAGTTTGGCCTGACACTGCAGTAGAAATTTGTATTTCATACAACAGTACAACCCAAGCTATCAGGCTTACAAAAGTTAAACAATTTAAACATAAGCAAAATCAACAAAATCAATTTGCTGGGATATACAGTTATTGACTATTAACACGGATTCATATACAGTCCCAAAATAATGTACCATCTGAGTTGTCTTTCAAACAGAAGCTGTTTTTTAATGGAATCAATAATTTCCCCACTCAAGAGCTTTCATGAATTCCTCTTCAGTAAAAGAAAGCATCTTGGCAGCTTCAATGTGCATCTTAAGAAAAAACAAAAAACAATTAGGAGCAGAGGTAAAAGAATGTGAGTGACCAATACAAAATCTTGGATAACTGGGATAGCTCAAAGGGGCTTCAAATCTATATTTTGATTTTTTTTTTTTTTTGGTACTGTGGTTTGATGGATGTTCACCTGTTCCAGCTGAAGCTACTAATCATATTTTTCTGCAAAAATTTATAGTGTAGGGATGTGATAAATTTTATGTTAAATACTGTAAGTTCAGCCCTAGTAAAATAGGACTAATAACTTTTCCTAGTTCCTTATATTGCTTTAAAAATGTCTCGGGTTTACTGAGGCATGGAAATGCCTGAAAATCTAACAACTTGTGATCTCTGAAGAACACATAAGGAAACTGGTCCATGTTCTCTCAATCTGATCTCATTCATTCAACAAAAGGCCTGTGTGAAGCAGACTTGAAGCCCTTCCACTGATGGTTAATATTGAGCACACAGGACCTTCAGCTGCCCTTCCCTGGTGCCTCCTGCCAAAAGCTGCCAGGGCAGGGGCTGCCCCCATCTCCTTCAGGTTCTTCCAGTCACAGTCTGTTTGGAAATGACAACAAACAGGATCCCTCTGCTCTCAGTAAATGACATTTGTTTGGAAGACCAGGTAAGTGGCTTCCTCACCTGTCTGCAGTTCTGACACAGCATTTGCAGTTGTTTAAAAATATATTTGGTGCATTTTTGTGATATTTGTCTGAGACTCTGGCTTTGGTTCCCAGTCAAACAGAAATGCTGCTCTGTGACACCATTTCAGTGAATTCACATTCCAGGGGACAATGAGCTGCCTCACATATAGAACATATGTTGAGTGAATGCTGTATAGTTTTTCTTCTCAAAATAAACTTGCAGAGCTAGAAGGGTGAATCCCAGTATCTCCTCAGCATCCTGTTACTGCCAGGAAAATTCTCTTGCACTGGAAATGCATGAGCAGCCTCACTTCCTCTTACTCCAGTTACCTGTCCTCCTTTGCCCTGTGTTGGGCAGGTATTCCAGATTCAAGGGTGTATTTCCATATTGCAATTCCCAGTTCTTGGGATAAGCGTGTGTATTTTCTTCTCTGAAGTTGCCACTTCATACTGAACTATTCTTCCTCTAGGGGCTCAACAGCTTTGAAAGTGTTTACAAATTGTCTGGTGATCACTGCAGTGCTCAAAGGGTAAATAAAATGTTCTATTTCTTTTATCTCTAAGGCTGGCCCTTCTTAAAGGGGGTTCTGCTCAAAAAGCCACCACACATTGCTTGCTTTAGCTCTCTTACAGCTTTTGTTTGAGAGCACAAAAGGTGCACTGACTTTATCCCAAAATTAATGACATGAGTTTCAGCAGAGTAGGATTTGGAGGTGCCCCACTCTGTGGTGTTTAGATCCTGTCCAGACAGCTCTGCAGCCCACAGCTCTACATGTCTCATGCAGCCTTGGAAGGGAAACTGATACAAATGATTGCACACATGCCAAGTATTTGTAAGTGAAAGGTTTGATGGAACTAGTAAGTGGAAAACTGTTTGATTTGGGCAACATCTCCTAGTATACAGTCCTCTCACTTTAATTTCCTTTCATGTAAACTCACAATTTCTTTTAGTTTGCATCATCAAATATCATTTGACTGGTCTATGCTGAAAATATATTTTGAGAAATATATTTACCCACTCTGCAATGTCAGAGGTTTTTCTTTTCAAGTAAAACACCCCTCCTTTTGGGAACATCCAATACAGCTTTACCAAATATGATAGTTAAATACACTTTGAGCTGTATTCCTTCTGCAGGATTAATCCACTTCTCACTATAGCAGCTTTCTATGGAAGCTGGATCACCAATCATTCAGCATGAACTGGCAGCACTTATTCTACCACCTCTCCTCTCTTCAGTCTCACCTTCAGCTGCTAAAGACTCTGCCCACCCTTCCATGCCCTGAGGGAGATGTGAAATGGATGTAGAATCGAATGACTTTCAGAGTAAGGCCGCAAGTGCAGTGTGGATGGGAACACCCTTGCAGCCAGTGTTACTGCATTGTGTGTGATTCAAAGTATGCAGGATATTCCAGGAATTACCAAAGGATGGAGCTCAACTTCCCTCTTTCAGTTGAGTAAATTCACACCTAGGTTAAGTGCTCTCTTTTAATTTTTTCTTTTTTTTTTTTTTTGTCTGACACACAAGGACATCTGCACCTGGACACAACTGCACATGTCCAGAACACCTCAGCATTTAAATAAGAAGAAACAAATGTTCATAGAGAGGGACACACTTTGAGAACCCTGGAAGAATGCAGGTCTAAAATGCAGTGCTTACTCCTGAGGGGTGGCACTGTTAGAGCTGCTGATCCAACAAATAATGTGTTGGGGGGGGAAAAACTAAAAAATCTCACCTGCTCAAATGGGTCCTACTGACACAGCACAAAGGGAGTTGCTGTTACTACCTGCACAGTGTTTGTTCTTGAACAAACAGATATCCTCAGTCAGTAATAACCTTTAACCATGACAGGATCCATTCCTAGTTAGGAATGGGGTCAGTTCAAAAGCAGACCAGCCTTTGCTAGAACACAAAATGTTACCAATAGGCTCTGGGAAAAGTGAGGCTGCTGCTCTCTTGCATTGAAAATTCCCAGTCCTGGGGCTCCAGTTCCAGGATTACCTGACTTGACAACAGACACATTTAGCTAGAGGTCGTTTACTGAAATGCACTTGTACTCTGGTCCTTACCTTTTGTCTCTTAAAAATATCAATTAACTTTAACTGCTTTTTAAAACCTGTAATTAGCTCTCCTTTTTGTTTCTGCAGTTTCTTGTTTTCTGTTTTTAATTCTTCAATTGTTTTGAGTTCTTGGTTAGCTACATCCTGCCAAGGGAAGAAAAGGAGAAATGTATTATTTATGACAGTGGTGCTTTTGCCAATGAAACCTGGCATTACATAAGAAAGTGAGGAACAGTAGCCACCCATGACATTTCTGAAAAGAAATTGGATTAATCAAAATATTCCCACACTAAAACTTGAAAAAAAAAAAAGTCAAAGATAACAGCCCTGGTTTGTCTGTGTATGTATTAGGTGTCTATGTGTACTTCCCCCTCTTTCTAAACACATCTTATTTTCACACAAATGAGGAAAATCAGAAAGGCTTTAACTTTATTCTGTGCATTTCTTGCAGTAGCATCATCCAAGATAACTTATCCAGGCCGTTGGTGACTTGCTCCAAGTTAATTTAGGACTGCCTGGAAGAGATATGATGCTTCCAAAGCTGATCAAGCTTTTTGTCTCACTCTAGCTTTACTGAGTGATCAAAGATTGGAAATTGTTTTCCTAAGCCACTGTACCTTGTTGCTTTGCTTCAGTTTGTTCAGCTCCACTTTATACCTTTCCACCTCCTCCAGGGCCCTGTTCAGTCGAACCTCTGTGGCACTCTGACTGGCTGTGGCCTGCTTTTGGACCCGCTTTAGGTTCTCCAGTTCCTAATTAAGAAGCAAAGATAAAAACAAACATCGTGAATAATGGGTGTTTTAATGAATCCTGTATCAACAGCACATGCACAACAAGGCTCACCCTTGAAAGCTGAAGCGTCTGTGGAGTTCTTTGGCCTGCAGATAGAATCTGTCTCAAAGACAATTCTACCGTTAAAACATCCCCTTCTCCTCTGAAATCTTGAAAAAGGATCTTTCTTATCTTGGATTGATCATGGAGCTGAGCATGTAAGACCACAGGACTGACTGAAAAACCTTTTATGCTCAGAAAGAGAAAAAAATGTTGCCATGTCCACTCTGTGGCAGATTTTGGAACGGTGGCTCGTGTTCCCAGATGCTTCTTCCCACCTGTTCCTTTTACCTCTTTTTCCCCAGAGACTCCTACATACAGTTACCACCAAGAAGTTAAAGCAGCCCACTGAAGATGGCTGAGGGGAGTAACTATGTCATCTGGCACAAAAGAGTTCATCGAGTGTTTATGGCACCGAGCAAAACAGCTCCCTCTTGACTCTGCTGACAGTGTTTCATAGTGCTGTAAGTGGGGAAATGAGAAAAAGAGACCAGGTTGAGGAACAGAATAGTCAGACTAAAGATCAGGGAATACAGAGAACAGCCAAAGTAAGAGAAATGAGCAGTTCTGGCAGAAAGAGCACATCTTGTCTTTTATGAAAAAGAAATAGACTTTTTTTTTTTTTTAAAGTATCAAATATTTAGTAATGGGTACAGAAGGACTTCTTTTAACCAAATCAAGGTAGAGAGGGGCCGTGTTGTTAACCTTTTAACCTCAGACTGCTTCAGTAATTGTTCTATTTTCTCAATTCCACACCTGCTCTATGGTGGTTATTTAAGACTTCCACATCATTTATCCAAGAAATACATACTAATTGACCTCTTTGTCTTGTATCAAGATGATGGAGCTGTGAATAAAGTCAACTAAATCTTTCATGCTATGTATTTTATTCTGCATTAATATGAAAAGCTTTGAAATACAGTCTTTCAAGCATTTAATGACCAAAAAAATAGTCTGCATGCAATGCAAATTACTTATCAGCTAATCATATCATTTAATGAAAGAATTCTAAGAATTCTCTTAGGGTTTTTTGACATTTACTGTCACACATAATACCTTATCAAGGATTTTTTTGCAAGTCATCCAGTGAGGGTATATTGTTAAATGTATTTGACTCCCGAGTTTTTAATCCTAAAAATACCTGAAATAAGTGTTTTATTTTGCAACTAAGCAAGGTTTCTGCCAATTCTTCAATACTTAAGAGTAAAAGCAGGATTAATTTTCTCATATGCTGTTTCTCTAAGAGGTGGGGATAAACTACTATGTTTGAAAAATGCATCCCATTTCAATTTCTGGATTTTCTCCACTGCTCTGCCATGGCTGAGGCACAGCAGGGGCTGTGATGGCACAGAGCTCCCCCAGGAGGAACCCTCCCAGTGGCCTTCTGTCCTCCCAGTAGCAGCATCCACAGCACCTCTACCTTTAGGAAGGCTCTGCAGCACCTGTCCTCCCCAAAAAACATTGGAGAGGGAACTTCTACTTAACATCAAGCCCTTCTTAAAGGCAAATTATAAACCCCCTGCACAAAGCCTTAGAAGGAGTAAGAGTACAGCTTTGGTGTCTCCCTGACCATTATCTAACATTATAGCTTAGACTGAATTAATGAGTGAGAGAACACAGAGGAAGGAATGTTCTTGTAGACTGGTGGTGAAAAAAAGACAGGAAAGGTGATAGAATTTATTAGACCAATTAGATAGGAAAAAAGAGAGGAATGCTGGAAAGACAAGGATGGAAGTTTCTGGGAGCATCAGAATTCAGCTGCTGCCTGAGGTGGGTGTGGCAGCAGAATGTTCACAGAGACCAAAGACCAAAAGAATTAAATGTAAAAACAACGAAGTAGTTTCCATGTTTCGGGTGAATTGTGAAAAGCAGGTGAGACTCTTTGCCTAGGCACATACAAAAAAAGGACCTGAGGGATTAAGGAAATTGCACAAATGGTTGATAAGGAAGTTTGGGGTAACTTGTATCACAGCCAAAGTCTCCTATCATCTGTGTTGGAACAGAAATCACAACAAAAGCAATAAAAGCCCCCTAATCAGAGGTTACATTTGTGCTATCTCAACTACACAGAAAACTTTCTCTGGATGAAAGTATGAGTCTTGAGAGTTTAGGAGCACAGTAGCACCAGTTCAGGCCTGTGTTCACAGGAAATTGCTTTTAAACGTGTCTAGAATTAATCTGCACTACATTAATTATATAGTGTTGAGTAATACTTCATACCTAAAAATTAGAACAGTTTTCAGACTCCCAAGTCCACAGGAGAATTAAGCAGTTAGTACAAAATTATTTTTACATGCATGGCTTTTGCAGTTAAATAATTTTTTATAGTAGAAAAAATTTGTAAAGTAACGTCTGAATTAGCAGGGAACCATTCATTACATACACTTGCCTTTTTTTGCTGCTTTAGTATTTTAAAGGACTACCACTATTTTTCATGATCTGGTTGGGAACCTTGATGAGTTCTAGAAAATAACCTGTGAGGAATAATTGGAGCAGCTGAGAATGGTAAATCCAGTATAAAGACGAGTGAGGGAAGTGACCACATTCTGGAAACACCAGAAATGAATAAACTTTTCATCCCAACAGACTTTTCCTAAATACATTCTAACTGTGACTGTGTGCAGGAATCAACACTGACTGTCTAAGGAAATGCTGGAAATTGCCATCAATTTACAACTTATGTTTTAAGAAGGCTTTAAGTGCAGGTCAAACAAACTTAAGTCCAGGATGGTTTGGATATAACCTGTCCTGTCTTGCTTTCAGATAAGGGACTAAATGACTTTGTAAATCTCTTGTCCCTATTTACTGTGAGCTGATGAGTAGTGTAAGTACTGCTATTGAATATTTTCCCTGACAGAATCACCATCAGGGTACTTATTTAAGGGAACTTAGAACTTCCAAGTATCTGCACAAAAAGCCCACGAAGACCATTTTAGCTGTAAAATACCAGAACTACAAAGCATTAAGACACAAGCAAGCCTACACAAATGCATAGTGTGATTTAACAGAGGTATAATGAGACTTTGTTAGGCTGTGTTCCATTTTGCCCAAATTTTTAAGTGAAACATTCTCATTGCACGTACTACACAGTACTCTGTGTGTTGCATGATTTTGAAGTCAACCTCTGTAGCTCTGAGTAATTAAGGAAAAACACATGCTGCCCTTAAGATTAAGTTCCAAACAAACAAAGCTGTGTGTGCAGCCATCTGCTGCCCCGGGCACGGACACCACTGTGCCAGTGTGGGTGCAGCAGCAGCCACGTTAACTGGGATTCAGCCACACTGGAGTGGATGGTTTTCCAACAGTCCATTTTCAAGAACAAAGACACGTCCCTTCCTCTACCTGCAGGACATACTAATATAAGCTGCAGGTGCTTTCTATAAAAAAATGTTCACTAGGTTCTACAGTTTACAATAGAACTCTTATTACAGAAGTAATTTTTTAACAGTCATAATTAAAACCAGAAAAATAAAACTTCCTTGTATTTTTTAGGATTCCTTTGTGACTTTGCCAGCAGTTTCTGAAAAAGGTTGTTTTGTCTCTTGTGGGTCTTTTATACAGGAATTTAATTTTAAAATACAGGAATATGTGATTGTAGAAGCAGAAGAAAAGCAGTTAGCAAAATATATTATTTCTTCCTTTAAAAAAATTGATTAGACCATTTAAAAATACGATTTCTAAAACTACTAACAGAGATCCAAACCCTCCTGGGATCATTCATATCAAACTAGGGTACAAGGGCTGATTTGATGTGGGGTTTGTTCCCTTTTGTGAGATAAATGAGAGTAATATCTGCAATACCTTTTCTAGTGCAATGACTTCTTGTTGTAACCCTTCACTTTTTTTGTTTGCTTCCTGTGACAACGTTTTGTACTTCTCAGTCTGACTCTGCTGCACGCTGATCGTTCGCTGCAGTCTCGAGTTTTCTTCTTCAGTATCTTTAAGCCGAGTTTCTAAATTCTGATTTTGATCATCCTGTTTGGCAGTCGATAGCAAAAAAACCCCCACAACTAAATCATTGCAAGGAAGCAGGAGGATAATGCAGTAATAATGTCTTGTGAATAAAAGGCAGTAAAAATATACACACTATAGATATAGAGATAAGTTTTTAAAAATTACATGGCAACAACTAAGAAAACAAACCACTATTTTACCAGCATAATACTTCAAAAAACAGTAACACTTCTTTCATTTAATTTTCTGCAGTCTTTTACTTGAAACTGTCTTGTAACAGTATGTAAAACATTTAATTTCTCATAGCTCAAAGGTTTTGAGAAATATCAAAGTGTTATGGAATAATATGAATAACAGTGGGACATAGATATTTTGTGACATTTTTGTGAGAATAGTTAAATGCACACATTAGGAAAAATTATGGGAAAAAGAAGAGAATATAATTACTGATAAACCAATCCATTATGTTTTAGGAGATTATCTGGTTTTGACTTAAATGCAAGCTAATGATCCAGGATACATCAAGTATTCAAATTTAAGATTCTCTTAACATCCAGTGAATCCCGTATTCGATTCATGACCTACTGGCAATTACATCCCACATTAAGCATTATAATTCAAGGCATTTTTCATTTATAACCTTTGAAACTTTATAAGTGAATACTAATGCAGGTTATTTCAGAGACACATTATGCCCTTCATTTCTTTATGAAAAAGAAATCAGGGCACACACACAGAAAGGGAGTCTGTGAAAACAAGTCTCTCCCTGTTGTTCTCTCAGCCCCTTGGAATACAAGCTTCTCACCTGGGAAATCCATGTGCTTTATCTAAGCTTCCTGTGACCACCTGCACCTCAGAAACTCCCACTTCTTCACATTTAAAACAGGTTTACTCCTTCCTTTTAACAACTGGACTGTGAATTGGAACCAAACCCAGAATCTACCTCAAGGCTTTGCCTAAATGAAATTTTTGTGACCTTATGAATGTAATAAAGTTATTTTCACACCAGAGAAACTAGTGCCCAAAATGATACATTTACACACAGAGTGCTATGGGAGCAGCATAAGAACAAGTACAAGGTTGTCTTCTGTCATCTGCTATAGTAACTGAAGTCTGTAGTGGTTTTGGCATGGAATGATGAAGTTCAATAGCTACTGACAGAATTGTATTTGATTTGAAAATGAAAATGCCTTTAAAATCAAATGTAACAACTTCCTTCTGATCACAGTAGAAAAGTATTGAAATGCAGAAGCACCTGTGTTGGTAAAAATGAAATAATGTACAGATTTAAAATGTCAAAATCTAATTACTTCTAAAGATTTTCTTCATGTACTTATCTCAAAAGACTCATTTAGTATCATCCTGCTCCTTAATTCTAAATTAAAAGCTTGAGAGAAAACATATAGGTATTTTGCCATATGTTCTGAATGTCATCATCACATCTGGGCCTGAGGAATAGGTGGAAAAAAGCATTCTGAAGTCAAGAGCCCACAACTAAATAATCCAGTTATGGAAAACAGAAAGTTAGTTCAAAACCCTTACTTGATTACAAGTGCATGAATCAGAGGGGATCCCTCTGGCAGACAAATACAAGCTATTTCAGGTTTTACAGTTCAAGAGATGTTTGAGCATCACTTGAAAATAGATTGCCAGACAGTACAGATCATAAAACTCTAACAGTGAAATATCAGTGTAGCTTCACTGTGCCTTAAGTTCAGCCTGATCTGCCCAAATACGTAATTCCAAATATTGTCCTCTGCATCAACTGTACTCTTGAGAACTGAGAAAGCCTAATTGCTGTGCTGATTACAACATTCCACTTAAAGTGGATCCACAGATCAGCTGTTTCCACACTTCTATCCACTGATGACACCAAAAGCACCCAACTATATTCCTCAAGCTTTTTGATTCTCACTCTGCCCTAAACATCCCTCTCATCCCATCACCTGCCTTTGGGCACCACTTCTCTTCTCTGTACACCAAAATCTGTATTTCACTGCTACTGTTTCCTCCTCCTTTTTCTCAGGCTCTGGTAACACTGCCCTTCCAGCAGTGGTGGTTTGGGCACTCTGCAGCACCAGTGTTCCTGCAGCTGGGGCATGTCTTCATTCCCAGTGGTTCTTTCCTGCCTCAAATTCTTTTTCATTAAGTGTATTTCACAAGCTTTTAGCCCAAGATCACATTTATGCAGAAATTACTACCCTTGACACTAAGCTCTTAGTATATTTAGAAAAAATAGAACCTTAGCTCTTAATACTTGAAAAGGAAAGGTTAAGAAAATTCTGTTTTGTGATTATTTGTTGAAGGGGAACCTACTCCATTTCTATAGATAAGAAAATCCAGCTCTTACCTTTTTCTTGCATTCAAACACTACACTTGCCAGGTCTTCCTGTGTAACACGTAACTTTGCCTTCAGAAATCTGATTTGAGCTTCTGTGTACATAAAAAGTTACATTTAATATCCACAAGTACTCATTATTCAATGCAGAAAAGAAGCAAGACTGATGTTAGAACTCCCTTTCATGTTCTTATTTTTAGAAACACTAGACATTGTTTACAATTATTAAAGAGAAATAGGCAAATGAAAACTCAGATTTCTAAAAAGATTTTGCAGGTTTCTCATTCTCAGGCAAAGCTTTGTATAGATTTTTTTCTTTTGATGACTGAACCTGACACCTTTAAACAGTAAAAGATGCATAATTCTCAAAATTGAAACTTATTGAAAACTTGCATCACACTGTGCTGTACATTACAGCATTTCTTGAGTCTGAAGTCAAGAAAACTGTACTGGAGGGCATGTCTGCACTGCAATCCATCTGTAGCTGCAACTTGTGTAGTTACAGCCAAAGTAATTTTAAACTGAGCACAAGAAGAATTCAATGTCGACTGCAAAGCCCTCTAATAGGTGAATACCCCTCCCACACAGTAGTCTATGCTTTCTTAAAGCACAGTATTTAAAATTAAACCCATTTAATCAGGGGGTTTTTTTCCAAATAAAGTACTTTCTTGCTCTTGGACAGCTAGAAATGGACTGTTATGACAAAACAAGCTGTGTGTGAACAGTTTGTTCTTTCACTTCCTATTCCCCAGATCATGCACAAGGAACTCTCCCTGAACTTCCACAGGTGTGAAGTATGGGAACAGTTTGAGGATCAAGTTGAGTAACACAGGAATAACCATTATTCACAGTAGTTGTAAGGGGAAAAGAATAAAGTGGAGGAGGAGTATCTGGAGCAGAGTGGATGGGTACATGTGTTCATTTGCTGCAACAGGAGTTCTTTTAATTTCACCCACTTTCCCTTAAGAACAAATGCAGCTTAGGCTGTAACTCTGCAGAGGCCAATAATAAGTAGGATTTAGGGGAAACTCCATGAAAAAATAAGATACAGACTGATTTTTATTCCTCCTGTTATATCCTTGCCAGCTTCTGGTAACTGGTGTCTGTTGAGATGGAGACTATATTGAAGCCCCTGCATTTAATCCCCTCTCAGGTACTTCTACACTATTAAGTTGTTTGATTTTCTTCATAAGACATACTGTAGTTTGGCATTCACAATATCCTGTGGCTAATTTAATTGTGCATTATGGGAAAGAGAAACACTTCTTATAGCTTGCTTTAAATCCAATTTAATGTGGCATTTACTAGTGTTTGCATTACAGAAAGACAGCTTTCCCTTTCCCATTACTGTTTTCATTACAGATCTTTCATAGTGCCTTTAATTGTTTTGTTTTCAAACTGAAGATTCGAGTTCAAGCTGTTCCACACTTCTGATTGCCTCTGTACACACTTAGCTGTATCTTTGCTGGTTCTACATCCTGGGTTTGAGATGGAGTGTGCAGAACTATGTTCCATACTCACCATGGGGCAGCCTGGTGACAGTACAGTATTTTGGTTTTCTTATCTTCTGAAGGATTTGTAACAATTAATTTGCCTTTTCCAGTGTGAACATGCAGTAAGTTTATGCTTTTTGGAAATGTCATAATTAGCCATAGCAGGTGTAATTGGAGTTATGCCTCAGGTGTATTTATTGTGAAGTAGGTGAAACTGGAGAGTTGTGTTTTCTAACAGTGTTCCTTTGCACTCTTTAGTACAGAATATAAACTTGCACTCTATCACCTCATTCGGTACCGTGAGATTATTGTGCAATACTTCAACACCAGTTTTAACTATTCTAAAATCACTGTTTCATACATAAATTTCTTTACCAGCTATCATTTAGCTGTTGTGAACAATGTAAGCTCCATGACAGATCACTCTAGGGCTATACCACTACCTGTCAAAACTGCTGCTTTTTACCATTTTGTTTCCTCTTTTACTCAGCTATTGGTCCACAGACAACTTAGTCAGCTGTGTGTCATTAAGAGCACTTAGTAGTAAAACCCGTGAAAATTCAAGTGCACAACTAGAACCAGATCAGTTTTGGGAAGTGCCTGTGATCCAAATAGGCTTGAATTCTCACAAGAGGTAAAGATAATTAAACAATTAGCTTCCTAACTGGTCAATTTTAGTCACCTGATGAAGCTGATAAGAGGGAGGAGTATCCCTTTATAGGATGGTCTTAGGTTATAAAGTAACCAACACCCGGGGGGAGGGAATTGGTAAACAAGAAAAGGATGTTTGAGAGACTCTGATACCCTACAAGAAAGAATGGACCTTCTGAATTCCTGGGATAATCTGAAGATTAACATGAAGTGCAACAATACATTCGGGTATTTTGTTCCTATGTGTGGGGGCATATTAGATAAAAATAAAGCTTCATCTTCAGCCTTCTGTATGTCTGTGTGCTTCTGTCATTGCTTGTTACTGCAGAGTTGAGTTATAACCTGAGAAAAATAAGGTGTAAGCCCCTGAGAAAAATAAGGTGTAAACTACTGTGTTGGCAGCAAAATGGCTGCACTGTGGTAACCTGTAATCACGAAATAAAGATGTGGAGCCCAAGCCCAGGAAGAGCACTGCAAGAAGCTCAGGGAAAGGACAATGCTCTGGAACCTTATCAGCTCACTGGCCTAAGTAGCCAAGCAAAGGTATGTTGGCCTAAGGAATCTCTTACAGGAGATTCCCACTGAGGGATCAGCCCTGTCTGTAACAGGAACTGCTTAATATCTATATCTGTTCCATGTGAACACCATAACTGTTCTGTGAGTCTGACAATACTGGAATGCTCTGCAATAGCTTATTTAGTATATTAAGGAGGCATTCAGAGTGTGATAAACAGCCAATATCACATGCAAAAAGTAAAAATCAATCCAGAGTATTTTCATTTCATCATTAAAGTTACACAAACAACTCTCAATACTCAAATATATGGCCTTGGTCAGCGAGACCTGATTACTTGGCACCAGTAATAACTCTTATTGAGTTACCTTGAATTGATTTGGTGTGAGCTTCCAGTGCAAGCCAAAGCATTTTCTTTTTAGTTCAAGGAGAAGGAACTATAAAAAAGACAGCTGAGGGTGTGTATAGGGAGACTCGGTAACTGCAGATGTGCACAGAATTACATGAGGTTGGAAATTTAACTATTCCTGTGTTGGAATGTTGTAGACATCAAGCTGTTAGATTAAAAGGAGAGGGCTCAGGCACTTTGTGCTACTGTGGTGAATCTCTGACTTCATGCTTGCTTTAGCATTGTAAGGAACCACACAAACTCACTTTTATCACATCAGAGCAAAAAAGAGAGATGCACATTGTTCCTTTAGCCTCCCTGGCAATCCCCTTTCCTGTTCTGTTTCTAGGACAGACAAAACCACACCATTTTGAGTGGGAAAGGACCTGGAGGCTTCTCATTCTGGCACTGTAGCTGACACATTACCTTGTTTAAGCCACTTTCTAAGATCCACAGCACTGGTCTGAGGAAGGGTTTTTTCCTCTAAAGGCAGAGTCTGTGCACGGCCTGAATCTCATCTTATTGGAAATACAAGCTTAGCATCATGTACTTCTGTTTCCCCGTGAAGTGAATCAAGTGTTATGCACATATTCAACACATGTAACCATCCAAACATCTCCCTACAAAGGTGGAAATGAAGATTTTTCCACAACAGAAGTTCCACAGTGATATGTGATCTGATCTTCCTCTAGGACAACGCAAAGAGGAAAAACCTTCTTTCCCTTTTCCTTTAACTTAAGGCCTTTAGAATTTTCCCTGTAATTTTTACAGAAACTCCTTATTTTACAAGTATTAACCATGGAAGGAAACTTACCTGCTCCCATTTCATTTCCAACACTTGGAATAATATCATCATCTGGACAATCTGGTAAGACTCCTTTCTTTAGTTTTTCTTCAACTTTGCTTATTGCTTTTGTTAAAGAAAAACCTATGCAATCTTCCAGTACTGCAACACCATCAGCACTTTGCACTTCCATGTTTCTTATTTTTGAACTAAAAAAAAGATAACCCTAGATTTTAAATTTATAATACAAAAAATTAACAAAAATATAACGTATTTGCTATTTTTAAGAGTGTACAGTTATTTACCCAATATGATTTCATTACTTGCATTCATATGAAAGACACATTGATGGCAATTTCTCTCTTCTTGTGAATCTCACCTTTACCATATTCCACATAAACAAATTACAGGATTTTACATACTGTAATGTAGAAGGCAAAGAAACCACTTCTGTTTTCTACTGACAAGATTGTGGCATGGTCTTCTCATGCAACAAACTCATAACTAGATCAGAGTAAAAGAAAGAAACAGAGGAATGTTTTACTGGCTTTAGATACTATCCTGTTTTAATTTCTGCTATTCTCCCCTCCCAAGAGAATTTGTAGCATTCTGTCCTCTGTGGCTCTACTCCTACTTTGCTACAGTTTCTGCATCATGATGCCTGGCCTAGGGAACATCACTGATCCTAGTAGTTGCATATCAAAGTTTTCATAAAGCCAAAACACAAGGTAACACATCACCTACACAGGGTATCTCCTCAACTTTCTTTATGCAAAGGTGACATTAGTTCTCCCAGGATCTGAAGCTCTTAAGTTATTATTCTAATATATCCTCATCTCAGTGAAGCCTCCAAACTCCTTCTAGCTCCTAACTTTCTCCCACAACTCTGGGTTCACCACACAGGGTCTGTATCTGCACAGTTCCACTCCCAATCTCATGAAGTACCAGCATGACAGCCCTGCCTTGACCTGCCCAAGGGATGTCCTGAGGGTCTGCACTGACTTCCAAGTCCTGAAGGACGGCCTTGGCCTCTGTCAGGTCCATGTTCTGCCACCTTGCAGACAATTTCCACCCTGTTTTGGTATTATGCCATATCTTGTGGCAGTTTACATTTGCTCCCAAGGATCTCACGCATTTCTTGACTCTTCTCCCTCAACCAGATCTCCATTTCTTGGTTTTACAACCTTGAATTTGCAATCTGCAGAGCCAAAGCTTCTCAGCCTAAAGCCCCTGAAAGCTGTGGTATGTTACTGACCCTCTCCTGTCCTGAGATCCCAAGATTAACCAGAGCAAAGGAGACCCCTGAGGGCCTCATGTTTCCCACACCAGCCTGCAGACCTAAGTGTGCTCTCTCAGGCTGCCTCAGGTGCTGCATTTCTGTATTTCTCCCTTGTCAGCTCACTGGGCCTCCTTTCTCCAAAGGGATTTAGAGACTTGAGCTGTCAGCCTTGAGAGGTGATGAAGTAGAAAGCAGCAGTTTCACTGTTGTAATATTAATCACATATGTTTACTGATAATTTCTGGTGCAAGTAAACAGAGACAGCCACGTGGTGGAGCTGACTGAGGAGGACCAAAAGTTTGATACATTTATTTATATAAATATAGAAGCATACATGAATAAAATAACCTGATAGACAAAAATAGCAACAAAAGGATTTTAGAAAACCAAAAGAGATGTCTGATATACCTTGCAGTTGTTCTTTTTCCCTTACTTCCAGAGTACTGTCTGTTCTGATCTGTGAATGCAGCAGCACATTTCTTCTTGCTTGCTACCTACAAATTTTTCAGAAAGGAGTGATTTATTTTTTCTATTGTGAATTTTTTTTTGTGGTTTCTTTTTCTTTCTTTTTTCATATATCCAGAATCAAGGATATTTTTCAAAGGGTGCTTTTCAGACTTCCAAAAGAACAACTTTTCAGTTTTATTTGCACTCATCTTTATCTTGCAACTGTTATGTCTGTATGCCCTAATTGTAATATATGCAGTAGTCATTGGCTTGTGGGAGTTTTTGCACACATACTCAGAATAAATCTATGCACAAGCAAGGCTCTGAGCTGTTATCAAGGTATTAATTATTGCACTGTCATCAGAGTGCATTTATTTGAAAAATGCTTATCATACCTTAAAAAAATGCTATTTTATGCATTATTTTCATCTTATAAATTCCCTGTAGAAGGAAGTTCTAACCATATTTATTACTTTCACCCAAATATCCTTCAAAAATTAGAGGGGTTTCTACTGCATTCTGATAAATAACTGCAGATGATATTTTGGAAGCTTTAGCTCACCTTCTAAAACATTCAATACAGTTGTAATTAGAGACTATTGAGTTTGTTCCTAATCTCAATCTCATTTTTCCATTGTTTCCTATTACATGTAGAAGACACTAGTACTGCCTTTACTATTATACAGCTGAAGGAAGGAAGGGAAAAAAGTAGGAAAATAATTGTGGTCTAATATTCTGCACTTGGAATTCTTAATTTGATGTTCTAAACACTGAACGCTTCTATCAAGACTTTTACAGAAGAGGAAACTTAGAGTACAAAAATCAAACATGATGTAAGTCCACTTAACCACCAGTGGCACTGAGAAACCCTGATAACACTGTCCCTGTAGCACTGCTTTGGGCACCACTTCCTTTTGGTTTCCCACCCATGGAATTCCCCAGTGAAGCACAGCCACAAAACCAAAAGTTGTATGTGGAAATTATACTAGAATAAAATTTAACCAGGATAATTTTGGCTTTGATACCTTGGCATGTGAGTGTGTAGGAGATGAAACTTCAGGACTGGAGTGGAAGAGTGGATCTCTGTGGAAAAAAATTAAAAAAAAAAAAAATTCACTGAACATATATAATAAACACTTCACAATTAAAATTCAACCTCTCTGTCAGAATAAGGAGAATAACATTTTACATGTCCAGAATAAACAATACAGCTAAGGTGGGAATATATCCTAAGTTCAAGCATAAATTCAGTCTGATGCTGTCTTTCCATTCTACTTCATTTGCCACTTAAATCACCTGGTGAGTCTATGATATCAAAAATGCAACAGTTTACTTATCTACCAGCCACTTGATCTTATCTCTTGGAATGCAGGCTACTGGCTTCTTAGATCCATGATTCCCTGCAGCAGGGAGTACTCAGCCAGTGTGCAGAGTTATCAGCCTCAACAAGGGAGACTGACAGTCCGTTCCCAAAGCTCACCACCAGCTCCCTGGGTAACACACACCAGACAGACAAATCCCAGAGCTCACACACAGAAAATGAAGACACAAACCAGTGTCCTCTACATCCCAAGAGGAGACAGTTCACCTATCCCAGTAGGCTCAGACTGCCTGTTGTCAAGTCCATTGACAGGGACTATCAAATGAGAATGAGATGGAGCAATATATAAATTAAGCCTCACAGAATTTTCTCTGAAATAAGTATTACAAATATTGTATCTGTTCTACAGACGAGGGGAAAAAACCCAGGAATTAAAAAAGCAGCTTTCTTATCTGCTTATTTGGCTGAAAACTGTGCTTCTTAGTAAAACTGAATTTCAGGTTAAATGATTATTCTTCAAGTCTGTTGAAGAATAAGCAAGAAGTTTTAGTGTGCTGTGTAATATTCAGGTCAAGTTTCTTGTCATATATATATAATGTTTTTGCTTACAAAATGAGCTATATGAATGTGTATTATTGCACTGAAAGGCTACTTTTTTACTACCCTTTATAATTTTTTTACTTCAATTAAAATGCTGGCTTATAAAAGATTAAGAATAAAATTTAAATTTCTGGCTCATCAAGTCACCTAATTTTTTTGCCAGGCTGATTTGAGCAAATGTTTAGATCTTGCCTTTAAAAATTTCACAGACATTCATCAACAAGAATTATCTGCACAAAGCTCTGTATTTTATTAATCAAAAAAAAAAAAAAAAAGGAAAAAAAACCTGGAGAAATCATCTGTGTGTGGTTGGCAACAGACTTCAAGAATAGGATGATTAGTTTTTGTCTATTTACCCTATTTTCCTCATGCTTCCTTCCTATTGGCTCGCTCTAGGAGCATGCAGAAGGTGAGGATTTGCTGCCACAGAAATAGCAGTTATGTGTTATTCTCAAAAATAGGAAAATACAACACTCTATACTGAGGAAAACAATGCTGTTCTTTCCATCAATAGGCTAACTTGTTCCTACTACATCTGTTGTCTTATGGCCTTCTTCAAAAAAAAAAAAAGAAAAACCCAAAATCACAAAACCCTACAAACGAACAAAGCAAAACAAAAAACTCGATCTCATGGTATCTCTCAAATTCTCCCAGGGTTTCTTTCCTCTTCCCCACACCTGACAATCCATTTTCAAAAGCTGGAATACGGTTCTGTGGTGGTATGATAAGTGAAATCAGTGTGTAAATTCTGAAAAGGCGCACAAATGAGCGGGCAGAGCATCGTGGCAGCCCTTGAAACAGAAGCTCGCGTTGAACAATTCCATCGCTGCGTGTAAACAGGCGCTGTGTGCATGAGCAAACCCTTTGTGCTGCTAAGCCAAGCCCAGCCCAGGCCGTGCCCGCCCATGCGCGGGCCCTTCCCAGCGCCTTCAGCCTGGCAGCGTCTGGAGAGGGAAAGTGTAAACAAAAGCTCATTTCAATGCGGTGTCACTGGAGCTGCTTTGTTGCTAAGTAATTCAAGTTTCCCTGAGAAAAATATGCTGCAAGAACTCCGGAACAACTTATTTTAAAATACACACTGACTCGGAGAGTGACTTAAATATTTGTTGGGTTTTTTCCTACATATTTGTTTTTCCTTTTAACTTATCTTTCCCCCCCCCCCATGATACTACCTCTTTCTTTGCTCCAATTCCTCCCTTTCTTTCCAGTTGCTTTAGTGTTCATTCTGCTTATAAGGAATCAATAGAAATTTCAAAGAGGTATTTAAAAAATGTATCTCAAGTGCTTCCTTTAGATTTATGACCTATGTGCTTGCACAGTTTAGAAATAAAAGAATTTTTAATTAAATATTAAGTACTCGGAACTAATCTAATTGAATGGCCTCAATGTTCACTCATGGATAATCAGTGTGCCTAATTCCTAGCACACATTTCTAATTTTTTTCACTACAGCATGGGATTTCAGATCTTCCCTTACATTCACAGAAGTGTTTACCAGAACACAGGCTGTGGTTGCTTTAAGGTGTTTTAATTTATGTAGGTAATTGTTAGATCAGCTGCTGCTCTAACAGGCTAATTGTATTTTTTTTTAATTCTTCCAACACTCCCCCATTTATTTCCAATGTGCATCATCAAAGCTATTTAAACTCCCTTTGTGGAGCTGGATCCTCTGATCACATTACTTCATAAAACAGCCCTAAAACTCAACTCCAGTTTGAAGTTTTTAAAAATCTTCTGTCTAATGTCCAAAATCCATCTAACAGAACATAAACCTAAAGTGAGATCCAGAATTTGTTTGCAAAGCATGGTTGTACTGATAACACATTAAGTTTCTTGCCCCTGATCCCCCAGTTGTCAGATATGGCTTTAAAATAGCTCAGGAATAATTTTAACTGCAGTTAACTTTTTCTGGTAGACAGGTTTCTATCACAGAATGACTTGCTGTCACACCTTCTTGTGTACTGAAAACCCCTTTTGCTTTCATAAAAACTCCTTAATGATGTCACTGCTTTTATCCAGCACAAAAATAACTATTGGATCATCTCTATCAGACTTCCATATACACTATTTCAAAAGTTTCCCAATTGCAGCTTAACAGTTGAGGCATCTTGTAGTCTGTCCCTGTATCTTTCTTTTTCAGATTAGTGGCATCATAAATTTAGGAACCTACTGATCGGATCCTTGCTAAACTGTGTATCAGTCTATCCTAAATTCACCCACACTATCAATATACAGTCCCTTCAAGAACTAAATAAGTAATAATGCCCCTGAACAATTAAGTGAACACAAGCCATGTTCCCACTCCTGATCCAAGGGGTCTGAACACCCAAACCCCACAGCTCCATGTGTGTTCATCCAGGCCAAAGGCACGTGGGCCCCAGCAGTGCAATGGTACCCACCTTCCAGAGGGTGGCAGCTCAATGTTTGCCTGTCTTAGGGTTTTGTGTTTGTTTTTATCAAGCACTTCCTGTCCCAGGAACATTTGGGCCAAGTTAAATGTGAACCAGTATCTGTTTCTTTGCTTTCTCAGCCAAACTGTTAAAAACCATCCACTGCCGAGTGTCTGCTGTTCAGTACCACAAAGAAACCTGTTACTGTACCTTGCTTCTTTACAGAGGTCAGCAATACTTAGTACCCTAGATAGAACATTCCAGCAAAATTTAGGCTTCCTTGAAATAACAAGGAACAACACTTGCTTGGTATCTTTTTTTTTTTTTTTCAAATAATAGGAAAAAATTTAGACTCTACCCATCCAGTATGCCATAAAGACAGATAAAACAGGAGCATGACTAGGGCACAAGTCAGGGTGTGCAGGAGCAGTGTGGGGTTCCCCACCAATTATATGCAGCAGCTGTAAAGTACATACCTCTGTCTGTCATCTTCAGGTGACTTAGACTGTACTGAAACTGGTCGAGATAGTAACTTCTGTTGGCCTTTCTTTATTAAAAAAGAAAAAAAAAGTAGTCAATTTTGGGGGAACATAATCCATTAAAGACAAATTACCCATTTGTAAATCACAATAGCTACAGCCTACTATGGAAAAGAATGGAAACTATACTCTACTGTTGAAAAGAACTTTCCAAACACAGGAAAAGATGGCTAAAAATGAAAATGTCGTTGCTATTTTGTTGTTAAATGTATATCTCTGCAATCTGGCACTGCCATGTGGTATATTAAGTGTCCTAAGAATATTTTATCTTCCACTATATTTAGAGAAGGGGAAAAAAAAGTGGTTTTGTTGTTGCTGTTTTCTAAAGGAAAGAGACTAGATGCTATTTTGGCTGTTTCAACTGCTTCTGTTCAAATGCCAAGCAGCTACCCTCAGCTTGTCGCTGCTCAAAAGAAGAGCATCTTCACAGGCCATAAAAATGAAGTTTCAACAGTAGGAAAAGTGCATACAAGTATAGATTTCCAGAAGAATTAGTAATTTGCTTTTTAAGCCTTATTTACTTGAATGAGTGCATTTACAGTGAATATATGTAATATGCAGAACACCTTCTCCAGAGTGGTTTGGGTATAAACCATACCTGCCCCATTCCCTTTTTATTCCTCTGTCCCATTTTTGTATAAATCTTGACTCTTACCTGGCACACAGCCACACCAATGTTAAAAGATAATACTGACAATAAACAGGAGCTTTTTCTGTTTTAAGAAAGTTTCCTTCTTACTAAATTCATGTTTTCTATTTATGTTGCTTATTCTTTGTATTTCTTTCAGATTGAACAATGTGTATCCTATTTCACTAGGAGGTTATTGCAACATGACCTGGTTTTCAAATACTAAATTTATTTAGCATTTAATACAGACGACCACCTCCAGATCCTTTTCTTAAAGTTTTTTATGTGGTTTTATGTCTATATCTGCACAAATGCTCCATGCATCTGTGTGAATACCTACCTGATGAAATTATATTAGAACTAGTTTTGCATGTGTTTTTAGTAGAAGTTTACAGCTTTGAAAAAAAATAAAATTAAAGCTTATGTTGCATTTGAAAGCAAAATAGTTTTAGGACCCATGGTCTAAATAATTTCTTTTTAAGCTTGACCCTGTGTGCACATGAATCCAGGCTAAATCATGTAGCAGTCTGTATAACATACTCACCATCAGCTCTTCAGCCTGACGCACCAGTTTTTCTGTTTTGGCTTCTAATTCTGCATTCAGTCGCCTGAAAGAGTAAGAATGCTTGTCACTGAGTTTTTGAAAGGTTTAAGAGAAACAAATGTAAGCATGACAGTATTTCTGCCTTAACTAGGTGAAGTTTTAACAATTCTTATAAAGGAACACTGTAATATACTTCAGGGTTTTAAGAAAGTTATGTTTCAACAATTTCCCGGGTTTCTGGCAATTGACAGTAATAAAACACCTATACCCATCAAGCAGCAAGGTTTAGGCTGTAATTCTGAGATGTGACGGGTGTCCCTGGTTTTGGATGTGTCACTGCTTAATACACATTTTATGTCTTTATTTCCTTGGTGTTTTGTGTGTTTCCCAGAGTCCTTACCTTCAGCATACCCAGCAGAGAGTTGGGGGATGTATGGTTGGGATGTATGATTACATTGCTTACCCACATAATTAAAGATGTGTTGCTATGTATCTGCACGGGTTGCAGTGAGCTGGTGTCCTTGCATGGTACCCAGTAGAGTTTCAGACGTGGCTCTCTGAGCCCCCTCAACACTCACAGGGACCGAGCACCGACAGGTAACAGAGCGAGGGCTTCCATTTAAAAGCTTTACAGCTTTTAAGCTGTTTTTAACTGGGTTAAGCTCTTATATAGTCATAATATAGAGGCAAAGGCACTGTTGGAGGTGCAGAGAGCCCTCACAGCCAGGCCTAGAGCCCGCCTGAGGCAGCGGTGTCCCGCGGCCCCGGGCAGTGCCCTCAGCCCCCTGCGGGGCCCGACCCGCGGGACCCGGGCACAGGGGACCGACTGTTCGCCGGGCCCGAGCGGGGCCGCCTCCTTACTTGTACTGCTCCTCCTTGGCCAGCCAGGCTCCGCTCAGCGCGCCGGGCCCCGCGGGCGGCGGGGGGCCGCCGGCCGCTCTCCGCACCTGCGGGGGGGACGCGTTAGTGAGCGGGGCGGGCTCGGCACGGCCGCGCTGCCCCGAGCCCGAGCCGCCGCCGCCGCCTTACCCCGGGCGTGTCCCCGTCCTGCCGGGCCCCGCCGCTGCCGCCCGCCGACATTTTGTCCGCGCGGAGGCCCCTGTGGCGTCGCCTTCGCCAGGGCAACCGGCGGCCGCCCGCCCTCCGTCCCACCCTCCATCCCTCCGTGTCAGGGCCCCAGCGACAGCCGCGGGAACGGGACCCTGAGCAGGGACCGGCTGGCTCCTGCCGTGGCGCTGGGCTGCCACGGGTTCGGGGGGAGTGGTAAGGGCTGAGGTGGCATTTCGTTTATCGTTGTCGTAATTATTTGTTTCAGCTCTTCTGTTAGAGCCTCTTGGCCTTTGATAGGTGTTGTCCTGCTACCGTCCCTTCGTTTCAGCCTAGCAGCAGCTGTGCCACCCGGTGTGCAGCCCTTCGATGCTGTTGTCCCTCTGCATTTCCCATTTCCAGATCTCTGTGATTGTCACTTGGTTTTAGCCTTGTTCTCCACCACGTGTTTGGATCCCTCCATTATTTTTGTCCCTCACCCCCACACAGTCTGATTTTGCTGCATTTCTCCTAGTCACCCACGAGCCCGTTTCCCCTCTCGTCCCTCATGGAGTCTGAGAGTCTCAGGATGGGTCAGGTTGGAAGAGACCACAATGGGACCATCTGCTCCGACCTCCCTGCCCAGGCAGGGTCATCCCAGAGCACATGGCACAGTACTGCATCCAGATCGTTCTGGAATATCTCCACTGAGGGAGACTCCACACCCTCTCTGGGCATGGAGAGGTGGAACTTCCTGGGCATCAGTTTTTGCCCATTGCCTCTTGTCCTGTTGCTTGGCACCACGAGAAGATTGTAGATTACTTACCCACTCACCTGCTCATTCACTCCAATCTCCTTTCCCAGGTTTCTAATGGATGGTGACCCTCTGTGTGACAACAGCCCCACTGTCCTGCACCCACATGGGTTGCCAGGTATCTATAGAGCAAGGATAACATAGTTCTATACTGAGTTACATGGGCTCTATATGATTTTAATTAAGAGATTTGCACAAGGGAAATCAGAAGGGCTTAGCTGGCTGGAAGTAGAAGGTCTATGCCTAGCTGAAGAATTTCTGCAGAAGTATTAGTTTCAAAACAGAAGAAATGCTTGGAGATTTTGAGCATTGAGACAGGCAGCATAATGGGATAAATGGAGGTGAAATGAAAGACAGGACAAATGTGATTAGTGGGAGACAAAAAATAGAAATATCGATATAGAAAACTGAAGTTCTTAACACTAACGTTGATACAAAGGTATTGACACAAAGGAGGAAAAGAGTGAGCCTGTGAGGCACATTATGGAGATGTTGAAAAGAATTGTCCATCAGGAAGTCCATTTCAATAACTTTTGAATTTTTACTAACAAAAAAAGAGGTTAATGGTGGCCTTTCAAAAAAAAAATCAGAATTTAACTCCATCAATTATGCCTTTGGATTAGAGAAACAAGAAAGGCAAGGTCAGTAGTAGAAATATAACCTCCACAGGGGAAAAGATAGATTATGTTGTAGATTCCATGAGATGTTAACACATCATAACCAAAGCCACGTTTTAAAAACCCCTCTAGTGAGGTTCTGGGGATTTTTAAGGGAAACAGAGGAACTAGAGAAGGGAAACAAGGTTGGCAGGATGAAAGCCATGAGGAGAAAGATGGTCTTTCCAAACAGCAACTTTTTTTCCCCAAAAATACTATTTCATTTTGCAGAACTAAAATATGATCTTAGTAATAATTTTACTGTTTTTAAAGTTCTTGTACAATACAGCTATAAGAGCACAACACCTCAAAAATGCCAAAAGTATTAGCTAGAGAATCTCTGCTAGTTAGATACTGAGGCAACAAAATCACTGGTTGAGATTAGAGAGATTAGAGCCACTGGTTTTCTAGCCAGCTTTTATCTAAGTCTTAATAAACAAAAGAGGGGTAATTTATTATATCATAAATGATTAAATATGTTAACAAACACAGGAACACAAGGTTCTTTTTCTTTAGAGCCTTCTGGGAATAATAACATGTATATATTAGGATTGCAGATTTGCACAATATTTCTAAGATCCACAACATGGTGTATTTAATATTATTTATTTTATTGAAATATTATATCAACTGGATTTAGAATTCAAGTACCTATATTTGAAATAATATGAAAAGATTAGTATGTTTGGATAAGTATTTCTTAGTGAACGTTAAAGTATTTCTCCAGAGATGCTGAAAACAGAAATAAGAGATTTTGTTACTTTCTTGATCCCTTGCTCCATTAAGGTTTTATCACTTTAAAGTTGACCTGATGTGACCTGATGTGGTTAATTCTCTAATACATAGTTTGTAACTGGGTAGAGAATAGGCTTATATTAGAGACAACAACCAATAGCAAGATACATAAGGAGACAGGAAAATGTATTTATCTGGAAAAAAAGAAAAGCATTTGAAAACATAGCACTGGTATGGTATAAGATTTAGCCAATAATATTTGTTAGCAGATTTCCATTTTCCATTCAAATATTTTTTAAAGTTGACTCAAACATCATAACTGTAAAATGAAAATGTCTTTGTTGCTTTGAAGTGTACAGTAGGTTAGGTGCAGGTTTTAACCAGATCAGTGTTTATGACCATAATGAGCTGTATTGGGACCTATTGCTTGGGACCTCTGTGATTAGAGCAGTATTTTTCAAGTGTTTCAAGTGTTTCAATTTTTGTTCTCTGAGGATCATAAGATCCCAGAATTGAATTACTCTAACAGAAAGGTTAGACTCAAAACAAAGTTGTTCACTGTGTTGCCTTTGTTTCTCTTCCAGCAAAGGAGGAGGTGGATCACAGAACAGAAGAGCTTGATCAGTACAGCTGGCAGGAGTGGTTGGGACAGAGGGATGTGTGTGGCTGCTGAGATGTTACAGTAGTTACTGCAGAAGATTGCTCAGACTCAATATACAGTGTTTAACTTTGATTAGACCAAAGCACATGTGTTATTTAGTTGTTTCCTATGGCACTCTTCCTTCTGTAGGCACAAATTTTTGTGTGATCTCTGTTTCCTCCCCCAATAAAAATATAAAAGCATGAGATTTTAATATGAAGCTATTATCTCTACACTTTTAGACACATTTTTTGTTCATAATAACTTCTTATTGGCTTAAAGATTCATTATACAAAATTTTCTGCTCTTCTCATAAAAGTTGTGATATTTAGTAGAGACCTCAAATACTGTCAACAGCCAACACTGTAGGATGGGACAGGATTTCACTGTATATCACATTACTTGTCAGGAACAGGGGAACAGTAGTGGTCTGGCACATTGTTTTCTTCCATAAAAATCATTGCAAATGTATCAGACCAAAGAGACAACAGCTGATATGCTGGTAAAGCTTTTGTTCTTTCTGTTTTTTTTTGTAAGGCCCACTGCAAACAAATAAAAAGCATCATATTGATGCACAAATGCTTACCATTTTTAGACCAAGAATCATGTCAAGAACTATATATTGTCTTCAGTATGTGGTAGAGCTAAAGTCAATTAAAATTCTGTTACTACAGGCCTCTCTCATTTATCTGTATTTCCTCTGTTGATTCCACCTCTGGAAGAAAAAAATCTTTTACAGGACTTGTTGCTGCCTGCCATACCTCCATCCTAGGAAAGAGGGATGCTTCACTGAGGCAACGTGACACAAAGTGTTTCATTCTTCCTTGTCGGCGAGGTTGTTTGCCCAGGACCATCTGTGCTGCTCAGATTACCCTGCTCGGGGTCAAGCGGTCACGGAGGGAGCGTTTCCCGCACCACATTTACACTCCTGGGCCTGAGCACAGGTACTTTTCTCGGTCAGCACCCCTGTGTGTAGGCACAGGGCTCTGCAGCAGTGCCCTGCACCCTTGCAGGAGGTGGGTGTTGCCCCGGGGAGCAGGGCATGCACAGAACAAACCCCACAGCCTGGGTAGGCTCAGCCCAGCCAGGAGGAAGTAAACCAGAGACAGGCAGCACTAGCAGATGAAGGCAAATAATTTAAAGCTCCCAGGCAGTTGTTTGTTTACTTATTTATTCTAAATGTGCTAGAGAGGATGTCAAAACTTAAATCCAAAGCATATCACTGTAACCTGAGCAACTGTAACCATTACAGCCTCTTCACACTTGAATAGTTTCTCTACCTTAAATTTCTCCTTCCTTTTTCTAGTTCCAATTTTCTGGAGGGGAGAGAGAGAAGAGCAGAATTTTGGAATGAATTGTAAGTGGAATTAAATACTTAGCAGCTGTCTGAAAACCTGGATTTTATTTTTTTTTTTTTAGCTTTAAATACTCATCTTGCTTTTTACTTTAAAAGATACAATTGCTATTTCATATTCCTGTTGTGTGGCATGTATAACAACTAACAGATTCACCTAAAAATCAGACTAAAATACATTATTATTGTGCAATCACAGGACAAAAATAATGTAAACTCATGTACAGCATTTTCAAACATTAGTAGAATGGTAGGATCTAGACAATATGTAGGTATTAAATCAATAATCCAGACATTGAAGGGAATTCCTCAGACAGCTGTTGGATTTTTCCCCCTAATCAGTAATAATAATCCAATGGTGTTTGAAATGGCATGATTGTATATTGGACTGTATTTTTGTGCTGATATTTTCTCATGCATCTCAATGACTCCCTAAAATACGAAGAAGACCAAGTATTATTCATAGCCATGACTGTCCTGTGAAAAAGCTGCTGTTTGGATCTATGAAGTCTGTGCAAGATCTTTAGCCCTTACTGACAGATAACCCTAAGCTGGTTTACCACCAGAGTGACCTGGTATCTCTTGTTTCCTAGCAGAATGACCCTGATGGATGTTAGTGCTTGTGCCAACTTCTGTGTGGCAGAAGGTGTGTGGGAACCAGGCCCACAGATTTTGAGGGACAACAGGGCTGGGGGATGGGCAAGCTGACCTATTAAGTCTCTTCCATCTCCAGTGTCTCCAGTTTTGCTTTCATATGGATTTCAGTGCCATGGAAATGTTTATTCTGTTTCTAGTAGCTGTGTAGACATATACAATACCTAGTTTCTAGGCTGGTCTAAGTTATTTTTTTATATGGCTATAACCAGCATACTTGGGCTATCCAGATTCCTATTTAAAAATACAAACATTTTTCTTTGTTCTTCTCTGCTTCTCTGCACTATTGGG